GCATGTAGCTGATGAATATCCACAGACAAGTGGATATTATTCCACAACCTCCTAAAATGCTGTTGAATTAAGTTCCAATCAAGTTCTGGATTACTGAAAAATAACACAAATCTACTTATATCATGAACAACCTTAGCTGGGAGTGTAAACTGGCTGACTAGGGTTTTTGAGGAGCAGTTCCAACTGACCTTGTGGTGTCCAGTACTTATCCTACAGCACCACACCAGGACTCCCTATCAGGTACTGTTTTTGTTGTTAAGTGCCATTGAGTCAGTCCCGACTCACAGCAATGCTGTATAGAGTTTCCGAGGAACAGCTGGTGAGCTTGAACCTCCAACGTGTGGTTCAAACCAATCTTGCAGTCCAACACATTAACCCACAACGCCACACCACAACTCCATCAGGTATTAGGTAATAGGAAATTAATAAGAGTCAAACCAATGGTGCCTCTATCCCACTATGGAAAGAGTAGAATCTAGAATTCCAGACATCAGTTTTGATGAAAGTCTTCTCTCTAGAAACTCTTATCTCACACTCTATAAGTACTTTAGGTATCCAAAGATATTAAATCAAAAAGATTTAAATATAAATTGAAAAATTTATATTACATCAATTGTTAATTGACAATTTCTTCAATGCACCTTGGACTTCTTCCTTCAGTATCAATGGCTCTTGATCATATGCTACCTCTTGAAATGGTTGAACATTAACCATTTCCTTTTGGTACAGTGACTCTGTGTATTCCATCTTCTTTTTTTTTTTTCCATTGACGCACACACTAAAGTGTGCTGATCTTTATAATTATATATAAGACAATCCAACTATTTTTTTTCCTTTAAGTTTTTATTGTGGATTGAGTGAAAGTTTACATGGCAGATCATGTTTTATATTCATCAAATCATACAACATGTTTCATCACAATGATTACATTCCCCTCCATGTACCATCAGTTAACAGTATTTCTCTCTATTCATTTTAGCTCTTTTTTAAAAAAAAAAAACACTCAGGCACATATAAAAATTTGTATCACCAAAGGGCACATTCTGCATGTCTACCTCATGGCCACCATCTCTTAGTCCCTCTCTTCTAATGAATCTAGAGTCCTCAGCCGCTTCCCCTCTCCATGTTTCCATCTCTGCTTCCATCTCTGGTGTCGCTGCTTCTTTAGATACGGTCCCACATTCCACTTGTGCTCTTCTCCCTTGATGGTCCTTTCTGGACTGTAGGATTAACCACTCTCCTGTTTTTATTACAAAACTTTTACCTTTATAATTGTGACAGTCGCAGTTAGTCATGATAACAATTACTCACTATTGAATCATAAGAATCTTATCCCCATCTCTTTTAACCAGACCTATCTAGACAAGAGTGAGCTCTGGTAGTATAGTGGTTACACATCGGGCTGTGAACCTTAAGGTCAGCAGTTCGAAACTACCAGCTGTTCCACAGGAGTAAGATGAGACTTTCTGTTCCCGTAAAGATTTACAGCCTCAGAAACCCTGTATAGGGTCGCTATGAATCGGAACCGACTCCACGGCACATAACCACCACCACCATCTAGACAAGATGACAACTATTCAGTGGGGACTCTTTCTTCCCCAACCACCCCCGACTCTTAAATTAAACTCCCTTTGGAAACCTTGTAAGCCAGTCACTTCTTGCCTTTATTGTCCCCTCATTTTAGGTAGCTAATGACTAAGTTGCCCGTCCCTCTATTGCCTGTGTACAAAGGGATAACATTGATACTTGATGTGAAGACTCCTTCCCTCTCTGTTGGTATTTAGAGTTACTACCTCCATGAGTATAGGTCAAGTTCATAAAATTGTAGCAATTTACCCTTGTTTCCTTTATCAAAAAAAAGATTTCTTTAAATCTTCCTCTAGTTGAGTTCTAATTATCAAGTCATCGAGGCTAGCTGCAAATTTGGGTGTTCTTGTGCCTCTCCCCTCACTTCATATCAGCTGGATATTTCACTCTTGAATTTAGCTCTCTGTGGTTATATCCTTGACCATGGGCTCAGATGTCCCCAGGTCTCACCACACTTTGGACCAACCAGCCCTTCCTCTTCTCGCTCTCACCTCCAGGTCAATGGAAGTTTGTGGAACATGGTTGAACCCAGCCCATTTCTTCATTGCTGCCTTTCTCCCTCTTCCACTCACCAGTAGACCAATGTAGTCATCAGCAAGTTTACATGCCTGCTCATGTGTTCCCTTTAGAAGTTTCATTCCTAGAGGGAGGTTTGTCCTTAAAGAACTTGATTGCTTGCCTTGATGGCTTCCCAGCGAACAGCTTGCTTAGTCTTGTAGTAGCCAGTTATACTAACATTTTTGTTTTGGGTTTTTCCTGATGATCTTTCTTTGAAGATGTATCATCTGTTGCTCTAGTTGTTCCAGGCTAGTCTGCTTTTCCTTTCCAGTGGGGATGTCCCTCCTCGGAAGGTTCTGGATGGGACTCAGGATTCTACCTAAGGTCCTATACTCTGCAAAGGCTCTGCAGGAGGCTTATTTCACTAGGCAAGTTCTAGAACCCCTTTTAAGTATTCCAATCAGTTATTCAATGGTAATTGTAAACAAGTGGGATCAAAATGATTTTTTGATGATTTTGATTATCACAATTCTTTCTTGGAAGAATTTTAACAGGAGAGGAAATACAGCTTTACCAGTATGATTCTAAAGACAAAATACAGTTAAAGCAATGGCAACACTCATGGAAGCAGCAGTCAAGAAATCAAATGAAGTATCGCATTAGGCAAATCTGCTGTACAAGACCTTTTTAAAGTATTGAAGAGCAAAGATGTCAGTTTAAGGACTAAGGTGCACCTGACTCAAGCCATGGTGTTTTCAATAACCTCATATGCATGTGAAAACTGCACAGTGAATGAGGAAGACTGTAGAAGAATTGATGCATTTGAGTTATGGTGTTGGAGGAGAATACTGAAAGGACCATGGACTGCCAAAAGAACAAATAAATCTGTGTTGGATGAAGTATAGCCAGCGTGCTCCTTGGAAGCCAGAATGGCCAAACTTCGTCCTCATACTTCGGACATATTGTCAGGAGGGGCCAGTCCCTTAAGAAGAATATCATTTTTGGAAAAGTAGAGGGTCAGAGAAAAAGAGGAAGACCCCCAGTGAGATGGAATGGCATAGTGGCAGCATCAATGGGCTCAAGTGTAGCAACTATTGTGAGGTTAGTCCAGAACGGGGCAGTGTTCTTTGTCCTGTTGCGCCTAGGGTCACTATGAGTCAGTACCGACGTGATGACACCTAGCAACAACAACAAAGAGGTAGCAGCAGTCCAGTCAAAGGAGAAGAGGATTGGTCAAGAGCAAAGGTCATGGTAATAGGTTTTTTTTTTTGTTTTTTTGTTTTTTTTTAAGATAGTCAAGGCATTTTGCTTGCTGACTCTTTGTCAGGCCAAAGAACAATAACATGCTTATTACGATTGTGTTTTGAGAAAGCTGGCTAAACTTTAACAGAAAGCTTCACCTAAGTCCTTCATCACTACAGTGCTCTGCTCATTTCTCTTAAGGGCAATTTTGTGAGTGTTTTGATGAGAGATCATTAGGCATCTGTCTGAGTTCTTTTTGTTTCCTAATCTTAAAAAGCAGTCCTGGTGTGGCACTGTGAGTTAATGTGCTGGACTTGCAAAGTCAGTTTGAACTGCAAGGTGATAGTTTCAAGCTCATCAGTCATTCCTTAGAAACCCTATACAGGGTCACTATGAGTTGGAACCAACTTGACAGCACTTAACAACAACAATAATCTTAAAAAATCTTTACAGGGCACCCTGTTTTCTTCAGTTAATAATGTAAAAAAATTAAAAAAAAAACCACTCCATTGACTCTATGGCACCTAACAACAACAGCAGCTAAAGTTGATCAATATTATTAATTTTTCAAAGAATTAAACTTTTATTTCGTTGGTTTGATTGCTTTTGTTTTCTATGTCATTGATTTTCACTCTAATCTTTACCATTTCCGTCCTTCTGAAACTTCTGAGTTTAATCTGCTCTTTCCCCACCTAATATTTTAAGTGGAGTCCTGATGTGGTGCTGTGGGTTAATACACTGGACTGCAAAGCCAATCTGAACC